TTGGCTATTGCTTCAAGTAATGACAGTGTGAATAAATTGTCAATATTTGCTTGAGATAGTGCTTGCAGTTCTGGAGGGACTCTTAATTTTTTGCATCTCATAGACTTAGCATGGGGATTTGTTTAACCAGTTAAAATTCATGAGTAAACCAGGTTTTTTAAAAAAAATCTGAAACATTTCGGGGGGGGGGTGAACCCCTAACCCCCCCCCTCGCTACGGGCCTGCTCCCCTCCCCGCTTGGAGTCTCAGAAACAGCCCTCCTCTTGGGTGAGAGGCAGGTTGAGAGGCCAGCCAATCACAGCGGAGGAGGGCTTTTGGTGGGAGGATTCCCCATGTGTTTCCAAAAAGGAAGAGAAGGGTAGGCAGAGAGACCTTCAGCCTTCTCTGCCAAAGGGGTCCCTAAGAACACCAGAAATATGTGTTTTCTGATGGTCTTTGGTGACCCCTCTGACACTCCCCTCATGACCCTCCCAGGTTGAGAAACGCTGCTCTAAGCAAACAACCTCCTTAAAGTAACTTCCTATGCTCTAATGTGAGCAGATGAAAGCAGACAGCCAGGAGGTGAGGGAAATGCTGACTTAGGATAACTTGGAGAGAAGAGGACATTTCCTCCTGGAACTTTCTGTTCTAAATTAGAAGGCTCCTAATGAAACCTGGTAACTCAATGGTTGCAGCCCTGGCTGGGAACCACTAACAACCAGTGTTGCTTGTTCTGCTGCAGTTTTTCTCCTACTCAGTAGCTCCCAGCTTTGCCCAGAGGAGACAAAAGTGCTGAGTTGGACAGCACATACCAACGCTTGTTTGTCAAGGTGCTGTCAGTTGAGGCTTCGGTGCCAAGCAGCTTGCAAATTAGGGCTTTGTCCCTTCTGTGGAAAAAAGCTGAGATGAAGGAAGAGATGAGTCCCATTTTCAAGGTGTGTTGGCCCCAGTTGAAATCTTATTTTGAAAGTTGCTTAAGGATAGAGGGAAGAGTTTTGAACATGTAGAGCAAGGGTCCTCAAACTGTTGAAATCAAAGTCACAATCCCGTCGACTGTTGGAGAGCCGGCTAGAATTTGAAAATTATTATTATTTTCAAACTGCAAAGACTATGGCACAAGCCAGTAAAGCTGGTCCCAGTGGTGATCGGCACACAGGGTGCAGTGCCTAAAGACCTTGGCCTGTACTTAAACACAATCGGCGCTGGCAAAATCACCATCTGCCAGCTGCAAAAGGCCACCTTACTGGGATCTGCGCGTATTATTCGTCGATACATCACGCAGTCCTAGACACTTGGGAAGTGTCCGACGCATGATCCAATACAACAGCCAGCAGAGTGTCTGCTGTGGACTATTTATTTAGAATTTTTATATACCGATCTTCTCACCTCCGACGAGGGACTCAGGCCGGTTTACAACAGAGGAGTTCATACACAATAAAACATCACATCCTATAGCCCCCGGTGGCGCAGTGGGTTAAACCCCTGTGCCGGCAGGACTGAAGACCGACAGGTCGCAGGTTCAAATCCGGGGAGAGGCTGGATGAGCTCCCTCTATCAGCTCCAGCTCCTCATGCGGGGACATGAGAGAAGCCTCCCACAAGGATGATAAAAACATCAAATCATCCGGGCGTCCCCTGGGCAACGTCCTTGCAGACGGCCAATTCTCTCACACCAGAAGCGACTTGCAGTTTCTCAAGTCGCTCCTGACACGACAAAAAAAAAAATACTACAAAACTAATATAAAAACACATTAAAATACAATCATATAATTACATAAGGCCAAGTCGTCAGAATAAAATCACATCACCATCCGTCCGTGTGGTCAAGGGTTATTGACTCACTCATCAAATGCCAGGTTCCAGAGCCAGGTTTTCACCAACTTTCTAAAGGTCAGGAGGGAAGGGGCAGTTCTAATCTCCAATGGGAGAGAGTTCCAGAGCCGAGGGGCCACCACCGAGAAGGCCCTGTCCCTCGTCCCCACCAGACGCGATTGCGAGGGTGGTGGGACCGAGAGCAGGGCCCCTCCAGAAGATCTTAACAACCTTGATGGTTCATAGGGGAGAATCCGTTCGGACAGCTAAACTGGGCCGGAGTCATGGCAGTAAAAGTGGTGTCAACAGCACTATAAAATAATAATTGAAAAGTCGACGACAGATCCAAAATGTAGACTCTGCAAGGAAGCAGATGAAACAATAGATCACATCCTGAGCTGCTGCAAGAAGATCGCGCAGACACACTACAACCAGAGGCATAACACCATTGCTCAGATGATTTATTGGAACTTGTGCCACAAATAATACCATCTGCCTGCGACAAAGAACTGATGGGATCACATGCTAGAAAAAGTTACAGAGAATGAACATGTCAAGCTACTCTGTCACTTCTGAATTCAGACTGACAGAGTTTTGGAGCACAATACTCCTGACCTCACGATCGTGTTTAAAAACAAAGTATGGATCGTCGATGTTGCAATCCCAGGTGACAGCAGGATTGAAGAGGAACAACTGGAAAAGCTGACATGATATGAGGATTTAAAGATTGAACTGCAAAGACTCTGGCACATGCCAGTCAAGGTGGTCCCAGTGGTGATCGGCATACTGGGTGCAGTGCCTAAAGACCTTGGCCTGCACTTAACCACAATCAGTGCTGACAAAATTACCATCTGCCAGCTGCAGAAGGCAGCTGGGATCTGCACACATTATTCGCCGATACATCACACAGTCCTAGACACTTGGGAAGTGTCCGACGTGTGATCCAATACAACACCCAGCAGAGTGTCTGCTGTGGATTCATCTTGTTGTGTTTCTAATACTACTACTACTACTACTACTAATAATAATAATAATAATAATAATAATAATAATCTTTATCTATATTTTGCTCTGTCTCCCCAAGGGGACTCAGGATGGATTACAGAACACATGTACGGCAAATGTTCAATGCCGTTATACAATTAACAAGGACAGACAATACATAAACAGAGGTATAGGCTTTCCCATCTTTTTCTATCTTCGGCATCTGGAGGCTGTGCTCGACTCCAGCCACAGGGAGGTGCTGTCGCTCCATCTTCCATGCCGAGGAGCTTTGTTGTACGTAGACGTCCTTCTGATCAAACTGCCAGTATGTCCTTATGTGCTGGACAGAAGCTTCTGCTGTTTTACTTCAAAGCTGCCTGTCGAATTTGTGGCAAAGCCAAGAATGTCCTAATTTATTGCTATTCCCAGGACAAGTGGCTTCTTAAAGCTACCCAACAGTTCCTGAAATCTGTAAACTGAGGGAGATAATGTTTCCATATTTGCTACTCATGATGGAGCTCTCACCCCATGTTGAGTAATCTTACAATGCCTTAAAGTTATTTATTCATTTATTTACGACATTTATATGCCAACCTTCTCACCCCGAAGGGGACTCAGAGCAGCTTACAAGATATATATTATTATTAAATATTAAATTATTAAATATTCATCATCTTTCTTTTTTTTCTTTTTTCAGGACATGGGTGCAATTATTCAAGAACAACCCCTGATTTTGGAGCATTGTACCATGTCAAAGGTAAGCGTTACTTTGTGTGGTTTTTCAAAGTCCTTTATTCACTTTGGCTAAAACGTCTAGTGTGGACAACTCTGTCATTATGACAGCAAAGCTTGGGCACCCAACATATTTCCTGAGAGATGACAAAAACGCTGAGCAGTATAATATTTGTGCAAGTGTCATTTCCCCCTATTAATGCTGTCTGTTCTTATGTAGTTCAACTAGTTTGACTACATGTGCTGGATCAGATACTGAAGCACACTTTGATTGATGGCACTGATGCTGTGTCCTGCCTAGTGAGTGTAAGAGACAATCAGAAGCATGAAATAGCCTCGTCTGGTGAGAGTTGGTATCCCGAACTACAAAATGATGGACAACATCTGCTTGGGATGCAGAAACCAATCCACATTGAAAAAAAATATCTATAGCTCTTCATGACCATTTAATGCAGTGGTTCTCAACCTTGCCAATGCCGTGACCCCTTAATGCAGTTCCATATGTTGTGGTGACCCCCAACCATAATATTGTTTTCGTTGCTACTTGATACCTGTCATTTTACTACTGTTATAAATTGTAATGTAAATATCCGATATGCAGGATGTATTTCATTCACTGGACTAAATTGAGCACAAATACCCAATATGCCCAAATGTGAATGCTAGTGGGGTTGGGGAGGATTGATTTTGTAATTTGGGAGTTGTAATTGCTGGGATTTATAGTTCACCTATAATCAAAGAGCATTCTGAACTCCACCAGCGATGGATTTAAACCGAACTTGGCACACAGAGCTCCCATGACCAATAGAAAACACTGGAAGGGTTTTGTGGGCATTGACCTTGAGTTTGGGAGTTGTAGTTCATCTATATCCAGAGGAGTGCTGTGGATTCATGGAATGATGGATCTGGACCAAACTTGGCACGAATACTCAATATGCCCAAATGTGAACACTGGTGGAATCTGGGGAAAATAGACCTTGACATTTGGGAGTTGTAGTTGTTGGGATTTATAGTTCACCTACAATCAAAGATCATTCTGAATTCCACCAGCGATGGATTTAAACCGAACTTGGCACACAGAACTCCCATGACCAATAGAAAACACTGGAAGGGTTTTGTGGGCATTGACCTTGAGTTTGGGAGTTGTAGTTCACCTATATCTAGAGGAGTGCTGTGGATTCATGCAATGATGGATCTGGACCAAACTTGGCACGAATACTCAATATGCCCAAATGTGAACACTAGTGGAGTCTGGGGGAAAATAGACCTTAACATTTGGGAGTTGTAGTTGTTGGGATTTATAGTTCACCTACAATCAAAGAGCATTCTGAACTCGACCAACAATAGAATTGGGTCAAACTTCCCACACAGAATCCCAATGACCAACAGAAAATACTATGTTTTCTGATGGTCTTTGGCGACCCCTTTGACACCCTCTCGCGACCCCCTCAGGGGTCCCGACCCCCAGGTTGAGAAACACTGATTTAATGGTTTCTGGCATAGAATCACAGAATCAGAGTTGGAAGAAACAACAAGGGCCATCCAGTCTAAATCCATGACATGTAAGAAAACACAATCAAGGCATTCCTGACAGACGGCCATCCAACCTCTGCTTAAAAAACCTTCAGAGAAGGAAACTGTGTGTACGAACCCACACGATCTCTCAGATCATCTGGAGAGGCCCTGCTCGCGCTCCCACCTCTCTCACAGGTGCGACTGGTAGGGACGAGGGCAAAGGCCTTCTCGGTGGTGGCCCCTCATCTCTGGAATTCACTCCCTTAGGACATTAGGCATGCCCCAACTTTGGCAGTCTTTAGGAGGAGTCTGAAAACGTGGTTATTCCAATGTGCCTTCCCAGAATAAGAAACTCCCAGCAATCTGTCCTTAAATGCGCTTTATTAATAACCTAGGATTGTTTTTGCACGTCCATCACTTCCCGGAAATTCACCCTAATCATATTTTACCTGCCATGCCCAGCATATTTTAAAATTTTAGTTATTACATTTGGCACATCCATGTTTTTAAATGTTGTCGTGCTATTGTTAATGTCTATTGTTTATTTGCTGTTATGAGTTTTATTTACTGCTTGTACTCTTGTTGTTTTTGCTTTGTTATTGCTGTGTTGTGGGCTCGGCCTCATGTAAGCCGCAACGAGTCCCTTGGGGAGATGGTAGCGGGGAACAAATAAAGTATTATTATTATTATTATTATTATTATTATTATTATTATTAAACTCCATCACCCTTCAAGGCAGCCTATTCCACTGCTGAACATTAGGAAAAATCTCCTGACTATAGCTATTTGGTAGTGGAATATACTGCCTCAGAAAGTGGTGGAGTCTCCTTCTGTGAAGGTTTTTGTGCGATGGTTGAATGGACATCTGTCAGGGATGCTTTAATTGATAGCAGGGGGTTGGACTAGATGGCCCTCGTGGCCTCTTCCAGCTCTACCATTCTGTGATTATATGATTGTGTAGTCCAGTGGTTCTCAGCCTGTGGATCCCCAGGTGTATTGGCCTACAACTCCCAGAAATCCCAGCCAGTTTACCAGTGGTTAGGATTTCTGGGTGTTGAAGGCCAAAACATCTGGGGACCCACAGGTTGAGAACCACTGCTGTAGTCCTTACAAATGAGGTAACAAGAAGTCATAAGCAGCTCTGGTTCCACAAGATGAAATTCTTGCATTTCTATGACTTTAGTTTGGCAGTAACGCTGCCTTGTGTTGTTACTTCCAAAAAAAATTAAAAATCCAAGCTAAGCAAACATCTGCCTTGATTTCTTTGCCTCTCCTTTGATTCTGCACTAAAATTATAGCAGAGGCATTGCAACTTGAATCTCTCACAGTGTGCTGGAAATCTTTCCCCTGACAAAACTTTCATGCAGATGGCTCATTCTGTAGCAACCCTTCCAGATCTGAAAAACACGGGTGTGGAGTGATAGGAATGTTGGCCGGGGCCTCTGCCGTTCTCTTGTGTTACCACCTACTGGTTTCAAAAGTGTGACTCAGCTATGACCTATTTCTGACATGGCTTCAGAGTTTGGAAATGTTAACCTTATCAATTACAGTTCCCATAATTCCCCTTGTGCTGTCACATGCTGGGCCTATACATAAGACTGTAGACAGGACATAAATTCTGCGTGCCCAACGGGATGCCGGGGCTGCCTCAGGATTAAAGGCCTTTGGATGTCCTTAAAACAGAGTCTTTAGATTGCTTAAAGGTTCAACAAAGTTCTTTATTATTGAAAACAAACAGGTACTTCAAGGCTTTCTTAATAGTCTATTTGGCTCTCTCAATCTTGTCCACTGGGAACAGGCACTATCTTCATAAACTGTATTTAACTAATGGGGGAATCCTTAACTTCTAATCTGGGCAATCTGTCTTTGCCTCTGTTGGTGTGGAGCTCCTACACCCGGTACCAACTGCTTCTGGCTTCCGCGAGTGACCCTTACCAAGCAGAGCTTTGTAGACCTCCAAGGAAAAAAGAAGGAGTTCAGGTTTCAGTGATGGCTGGCTGAAGTGCTATGAGACCAGATTCCCTCAGCAAAGGAGCTGTAAGGCTGTATATATATCTCCCGGCCAAGCTGTAGAGCAGGGGTCCTCAAACTAAGGCCCGGGGGCCGGATACGGCTCTCCAAGGTCATTTACCCGGCCCTCGCTCAGGGTCAACCTAAGTCTGAAACGACTTGAAAGCACACAACAACAACAACAACAATCCTATCTCATCAGCCAAAAGCAGGCCCACACTTCCCATTGAAATACTAATAAGTTTATATTTGTTAAAATTGTTCATTTTAATTATTGCATTGTTTTAAAGTATTTTTTGCACTACAAATAAGATATGTGCAGTGTGCATAGGAATTCATTCATTTTTTTTCCAAATTATAATCCGGCCCTCCAACAAATCGAGAGACTGTGACCTGGCCCTCAATTTAAAAAGTTTGTGGACCCCTGCCGTAGAGCCTTTTCTCCCCGGCCAAGCTGTAGAAGATGAAGCTTTCTACAGGAGCTCTTGATTTTATGTCCTGTGTGAAGATCCCTTACCTTGCCAGCCTGGGTGGCAGGGCCTGGGAGAGACAGGCTAGGTAGTTTCAGCTTAGAAGGCCTGGCAGAGGGCAGGAGGAGCCATCTTAGTTTAGGGAAAGCTCCAGTTCAGAGAGGGGGAGTGGCCTAGGCCTGAGCCAGCCCAGAAACAGCTAGGATTGGTTTGTTAAAGGGGGGCGGAGTTAGACTGTTGGAGGGAAAGTAAGAAGCTGTTTTTAGTCAGTTCAGTTCAGTTCTGGTTGCTGTTAGAGTTAGAGCAGGGTGACAGAAGCTATTAGGAGTTCGTGATTAGACTAGGCAGTTTGCCTGAAGTTTGCACAGCAAAGTAGGCTGTGGCAGACTGGTTACAGCTATTTAAGGAAGGAATAGCTGGGTTTTGTAATAGTAACTGTATTAAAGAAAGAACCATTCTCTCATGCAACCGTTACGCTTTTTAAGAACAAGAACTCTTTAATTGTAACAGCCAAGCTTATGAAACTGCATTCACTTCATTCTGTAACTTCTATTCAATAAACCTTTCTTGTTATTTTTGAAACTTAAGCCTGAGTCAAGTGCCATTTGTGGATTTAGTCCCTTTTCATTTTAATTCAACCTCATCTGTTTTCCTACAAAGAAGCCCTTTTAAAAGACACAGTGTTTGGTGGTCCTAGAAGTAATTTTAACATCTTTAAATAGCTAGAGGGTTCCTGTTCATTTATACTTATGGTGGCAGCGAAGGTTTAAATAAAGAGACATCCCCTCAGGTGTTATCTAAGTGCCAAAGTGGTGTATAAAGTGGTGTAAATCCTTTATTGTCAGGAGGGACAGTTGTGGGATCTGTTTGCCCCCTGTCCAGTCATATTGTTTGGCCATAAAGCTGCCTTTATAATTTGGTGTCAGATGGTGGGATAGATCGTATTGTCATCTGCCTAGTTATTATAATTGGTGGGGCAGTGGTGGGTTTGTTTGACCCCTGCCCAGACGGCCATTGAAGTAGTTATTATATCCTGCATGAAAGGCTTCTCTGTGTGGACTGGCCCAAAATGGCTCCTATTCCCTCCAAAACCCAAAAAGGGGGCGGGACCAGAGAACCTAACGATAATTGACAGGTGGCTTGCCCTATAATTGCAGTCAAAAGAAGCCACCTATCTGCAGTCCCTGAAACTTAGGACTACAACAAACATTCAATACAAAGCAAACAAAATTGGAGCTCCTGGTACAGCTGTACCTGCACACCCCTGTTGGCACGGCCAGTGGACACGTTAGCTGTGTTTCTGGGAGCTGTAGTGCCCCCCCCCCCAAAAGTAATGTTTTGAAGTTCTGGACTTCACAGTGGGTTTGATTTACTGGATTTCTAGTTTGGCACATACAACCAAATCAGACCAAGCATGGCATGGTGGTTTAACTTTGGGTGATGATTCTTGAGGACAGGGTTCAATTCCTCGATCAGCCATTGAAACTCACTAGGTGGGCAACCTTGGGCAAATTACTCAGCTTCAGGCAAGCCAGTTCCAGGCTCACCTTAGGGTCAACCTAAGTCGGAAATTACTTGAAGCACCTAACAACTAAGGGTCTTTCCAGGCAGGCCGTTATCCCAAGAGCATCCGTGTTTAAAAAACGCAGATGTTCCTGGGGGTCCATCTACACTCACCCCAGAAAGTGTATGCTTTCTGGAGTATATGTCCAGATGTTCTACTGGGACTTCCCAGTAGAACACCGGGACACTTAACCCCCTCCCCAGAATCCCCCCTAAACACAGTAAAAAAAAAAAAGGAAAAGAACTCATCCAGGCTCAATAAGACGGCTGCCAGGGTACCTTTTATTTTTCAGTGATTGGTTTGGGGGGGGGGGGGAAGCAAAATTATCTTGAAAATTGAAAATTACCTAGGGCCAGCCCTGGTTAGAGACTCCATTGGATTTTCAGACTAGACAGAGACTCCATTAGACTCTCAGAACAGAGAGATGCTTTGGAGCAGGGGTCCTTAAACTAAGGCCCGGGGGCCGAATGCGGCCCTCCAAGGTCATTTACCCGGCCCTCGCTTAGGGTCAACCTAAGTCTGTAACGACTTGAAAGCACACAACAACAACAACAACAACAACAACAACAATCCTATCTCATCAGCCAAAAGCAGGCCAACACTTCCCACTGAAATACTAATAAATATATATTTGTTAAAATTGTTCTTCATTTTAATTATTGTATTGTAAGTGTTTTTGCACTATAAATATGTGCAGTGTGCAGAGCAATTCATTCATAGTTTTTTTTTTCAAATTATAATCCGGCCCTCCAACAGTTTGAGGAACTGTGACTGGCCCTCTGTTTAAAAAGTTTGAGGACCCCTGCTTTAGAGTATTGACTGCTGATTATGAGAAAGATTCCCTGTGTTGCCTATACAGAGAAACTACTTCAAATCTACTTGTAAGTGGACTGATAAGCAAAGTACCTGTATGCTGAATATATCAAGTTTGTGAGTAAACTAACTATGTTACTTTTAAAGAAGTCTGCTTATTTTTATCTCTTGAGAGCATGATTAAAAGGCAAATATATTTTGGGAGAGAGTGGATGTTTTGGGGCAACTGAAAAGAGCACTTCTGAAACTGCAGAATATATAATGTGTGTGTGTTCATTGGCATGACTTTGTTCCTAGCAGTTCAGATACATATCTAGGAACATCAGTTTAACAGCTGAGAAACATAGTTGCCTTGCATGAATGCTGGTGGATGCCATTTCCCCAAAAAGGTTATGATTCTAACAGGTCATGCTTTTTACCAAGAGGTTATGGAATCATTTTCCAATAGGTTGTGACTTCTAACAAGGTCATCCCTTTCCAAAGATCATAAAATCTGCCGATGTGAGGAATTTTGCCACTATGAGGGTCACCCTGTGGCACTCATCTTCTAAAAGATATCTAACATTCCCCTGCAGGGGATGGCTGGTCACATGGAACAAATTTTGATATAAAAGTTGTCTACGTTGCACTGTGTAAGAGTGGCACTTCAATAAAATGTGTTCTACTGTTTCTACTTCATTTCCTTCACAGGAGCATAGTCTTTGGGAGTAAGGAATTTCAAACAGTTTGCCTCTTAGTAGCTCTGAGGGAAACATATTTAATCTCAGCTTTGTGTTCCTATATGGTTTACCAATACAAAGACAATGAATGGGTCATTTGCTAGCCTAGTAACTTCCATTATGTCCTCTAGGAATCATCAACCTCCCATATGCTGAAATTGAAGAGCCTTTTGAGGCCTGGTACAACCTTACTGGAAACAAGAGTCGCATTGAGTACTACAATGGTAAGAGACTATTATAGAGCTAAAATTTAGGGGTCTTTGCCAGGAGGCAGAGACCAATTAGACTCATCAAAGAGTTCTTTTTCCCTGGTGAGACAGAGAAGCATCCCATATTTTTCCCTGATTTTCCAATGAAAAGTCTCACCAGTTGAAGAAAAGCCATCGAGGTTTAATGCGATTCAGCTGGAACGGATGCAAAGCTGCAATCATTCGCCAAAGCTAAGCATGAGGGGAGTACACCAATACAGTCATATTTATAGCAAATTCAAAGTTGCAGAGTTCAAACTCCCCGCCCCGGCTTCCCTGTTGTTCCCTGCCGTGATTGGGCGATGGGTGAACAGCTGGGAGGCGGCCCTCTTGCCCCCGGCGCCTCTGGACCAATCAGGAAGCTCCAGTGGTCCGTAGGATCCAATGGGGAGACCTCTGCCACCTGGTGGCAACAGCAAATCTGGAGAGAGGGAGGCGGGATGAGGGAACACAATAGAGTCTATGAATTAGTTTTGAAAAAAAGGAAATGCCATGTGTCCTGCGAGACAAAGGAAAAGTCTCAAAACAGGGCTAGTCTATTGTCCCTTGAGTGGCATGTGTGAGGAAAGACCAGATTTTTCCAGGCCAGCAAACAGGAAAACAATGGAGATAAGGCTGAAGTGATTGTTCTTTGATGAATATACAGTAAAATTTAATCAGTGCGGAGGTAAGGGCTTTCCTAAGGCCCACTGATCTCCAGATAGGGAAATGGCCAGGGGTCTGCCAGGGGGCAAACAGCATTGTTGGGCAAACCTCCGAAAACAAAGCCATCTGCCAGTCTATTTTCCATGCAAAGGAAACCGTGGATTAGGGTCTTTGGAATGTCTGGAGCTTTGCAATCCCTTGGTGGGATTTCCTCATGAGTATAGGGGAATAAAAGGTCAATAAAAAAGGGAAAAGCCTTTGCCACGAGGAAATCATGAAATATATATTATGTGTCCATAGTTCATATTATTCATAGGAAGGTCCATAAAGGGAAATATCGATGAGGGGGAAAGAGAGTCCCTTGTTTGTGAGATGAGGGACCCTCAGGAGCCCAGGTATGCCTCAGGTGGAAAAATTCAAATACTTTTGTGGCATGTTTTCAGTAATAAATTGGTTACCTTCTGCTGTAAACATATGAAAATAGGGCATAAAGCCTTGATTAAATGGTACACACCAAACTGACCAAGGCTTAACCCTTATTATCCAGCCTGGTGTCCTTGCCCTTAGCAAAACTATAAGTTGCTCTCTCTAATGGGGGGGGGGGGTCATGTTCCACTTCAAGACCAGTCCATAAAAGAAGAAATGGAGGTATAGGCAAATACAGTGGGGGCTCGGGCAGTGATTCGTAACCTTTTGTGCTCCTGAAATATAAGATTTCAGCTCCCAGAAGCTTGAAGAACCTGGGTCAAACATGACATGACATTGAAGATCCAAGTGTCTGCTACAAACACATGCAATTTTAATTAGAAATGTGGTGCGCACATCATTTTTAATCCTTTCCCTCCCTTTGTAAAATGGGATGGTGTAATCTTCTGCCTCATTTATCAAGATAACATGCAACAAGGGTTAGAACTAGGGCTGGATCTACACCGCCATGTTCCAATCCAGATTATCAAAGCAGATAATCCACATGATCTGCTTTGAACTGGATTACATGAGTCTACATTGTCATATAATCCAATCCAAAGCAGATAAACTGGATTTTATCTGGCGGTGTAGATCAAACCTTGCTTCCTGAATCAGAGCAACAAATGGCACCCTTCTTTGTAGTAATGCGGTAACGAAGTCGCCCAAATTATTTTGGGATATGAAGCATAACAATACAGATGCAAGGTTCTTGTGGGTTTTTTCGGGCTATAGGGCCATGTTCTAGAGGCATTTCTCCTGACGTTTCGCCTGAATCTATGGCAAGCATCCTCAGAGGTAGTGAGGTCTGTTGGAATTAGGACAATGGGTTTATATATCTGTGGAATGACTGGGGTGGGGCAAAGAGCTCTTCTCTGCTGGAGCTAGGTGTGAATGTTTCAACTGACCACCTTCATTAGCATTTGAAGGCCTGGCTGAGCCTGGGGGAATCTTTTGTTGAGAAGTGTTAAGATGTGCCTGGTTGTTTCCTCTCTGCTGTTTTGCTGTTGTAATTTTAGAGTTTTTTAATACTGGTAGCCAAATTTTGTACAGATGCAGCTCTCTCTATTTCTCAAGCACTGATAATACAATTAGAATAGTAAGAAACCATTTCTGGCCTTCCAAAGTTGACAAACTCTCACCACCTTTGGAATGGGGAATGTCTCAGGCAGAAAATGTCTTCAATTGGAACTCAGTCGTCTCTAAAACCGTATTTTTATCCTGCAGATGAACTTTTCCATACACCTGTAGGAGAATGGGACTTCCAAGTCTAAAAAAATAATTTAATAACTTTTAGTTGATGAATCAATGAGCAGAGGCCAAATATAATTGGTGAGGCTGCAACCAAAGGCAAGATTTCATTTGCTTTTTTAAATACCGTTGCTTGCTTCATTCGGAATCCTTAATACGATTAACGACAGCTTTTCTTTGAACAGCATATTTGCTTTTATGTATTTACTTAACTGAAGCATCTTTCACTGCCTTCAGTACCTCAAACCTGAAGTGTTGCAATCTGCAAACATTTACATTTGATCTTAATCTAGATGTTTAAATTCATTTATATTCTAACTCATATAAAGCTAGATGACAGATAAATGGGGGAAATAACCATTAGCATGTAGATAGACTTTGTTTCGGTGATAGTTAATGAAATACGAACACAGGATACATCTTTAGGTCTTCCTCATGGATCGTGGTGGTTTATTTATTTATCGTGTCAGGGGCAACCAGACAATTGTATTACATTTCTAACAGAACAAAACAAACAGACAGACAAAACACAAAATTTGCAAGCTTGGTAGTTGATTAAATGTCCTTTGACCAGTATCTGGCCACTTGGAGTGCCTCTGGTGTTGCCGCAAGAAGGTCCTCCATTGTGCATGTAGCAGGGCTCAGGTTGCATTGCAGCAGGTGGTCAGTGGTTTGCTCTTCTCCACACTCGCATGTCGTGGATTCCACTTTGTAGTCCCATTTCTTAAGATTGGCTCTGCATCTTGTGGTGCCAGAGCGCAGTCTGTTCAGCGCCTTCCAAGTCGCCCATTTTTCTGTGTGCCCAGGGGGGAGTCTCTCATTTGGTATCAGCCATTGATTGAGGTTCTGGGTTTGAGCCTGCCACTTTTGGACTCTCGCTTGCTGAGGTGTTCCAGCGAGTGTCTCTGTAGATCTTAGAAAACTATTTCTTGATTTAAGTTGTTGACGTGCTGGCTGATACCCAAACAAGGGATGAGCTGGAGATGTCACTGCCTTGGTCCTTTCACTATTGGCTGCTACTTCCCGGCGGATGTCAGGTGGTGCAATACTGGCTAAGCAGTGTAATTTCTCCAGTGGTGTAGGGCGCAGACACCCCGTGATAATGCGGCATGTCTCATTAAGAGCCACATCCACTGTTTTAGTGTGGTGAGATGTGTTCCACACTGGGCATGCGTACTCAGCAGCAGAGTAGCATATCACAAGGGCAGATGTCTTCACTGTGTCTGGTTGTGATCCCCAGGTTGTGCCAGTCAGCTTTCGTATGATATTGTTTCTAGCACCCACTTTTTGCTTGATGTTCAGGCAGGGCTTCTTGTAGGTCAGAACACAATCAAGATGGGGCAAGCACGCTCCCCTGAGGCAGGCCGTTCTTCTGTTTCCGCCATCTGCTTCTCTGGCCCTGGAACTCAACAAAAAAGCTCCTGTTTTGTAGCAGGTTTCCTATGAGGCGGGTGAGGTGGTAGTCCTTTGTGATATTATACATTTTTCTCAGGAGGAGGCGGTGGTTTACAGTATCATAAGCCGCTGACAGGACTATGAAGACAGCTCCTGTGATCTGCTGCCTTTTAATATTATAGGTTGCAAGTCTGAGCATCCCGCAACATAGCCAATTCTGAGGATTACTAAGAAGCAATACCCACTCATTAGAAGAGTTGTGTCTCCATCAGATGCCAACAGATCCTTTAGACCAGGCATGGGCAAACTTCGGCCCTCCAGGTGTTGTGGACTTCAACTCCCACAATTCCTGGAGGACTGAAGTTTGCCCATGTCTGCTTTCGACTGAAAGAACCAGGGAATTTACCCAGATGACCTTCTGCATGCAAAGCTTTATCATATCTTCCCACTTCTTGCCACTCTTCAGGCCAGGTGATAACGCTGCAGCTTGGATGTGTGGAACCATATGGCACCATGTTCAAAATAACACCAGCGACTACAGAGACCGTGGTGAATGCGGAAAAGTGCTTCCAGCTGAATGGCACCAAAGACAACCATGTGCAACCCCAGGAAGTCTTTCCTAACATGAAACACTTCCAGGTAAGTTACCAAGGAGAAGGACAAAGATGTGCCAAGGGGTCGGGTTTTAACCTGGATATGAGACGCCTTCTCCAGATTCTGTGGGCCTATGGAGAAAGGCTGTTTCTGTCAAGACCCAGAAGCCTTAATGATGCCAAACACGTTGTAAAAGGTCCAAACACAAGTTTATTGATTACAAAAAGGGCTTGGAGACACTTATTTCAGTGTCCCAAGTAAGAACTAAGAGTTTGTAGCAAACGCAAAGCGAAAAAAGCAACTTAGATATAATCCGGATTATTCTGGCGTATAATCCGGATTATTCTGGCGTATAATCCGGTATAACAGAAACATGAAGTAATCCGCTTGAAATTCACAGTGTCCAAAAAGCATACAAAAACAAGTTGGTGAAAAGCAAAAACAATGTCCAAAGGCAGTCCATAGTCCAAACACGTTCCAAGCAAGTTGAGTAAGTCCAAAACATGTAACCGTTGCCAAACACAATCTGGAGTCAAAAACGGGAGAGTAGAAGTCGTCATGGAGTTTCAAGGAAGTAAACACAGGAACATGGAGATCTGTAGTCCAAGGACCCAAACTCGAGAATTGGCAATAACAAAGAATCACACACGAAAAGACACTTTGCCTTCTGCAAAGAACCCATTGAAACAAAACCCACTTATATCTTAAAGTTCCTCATCAGAAGATGAGGTGCTCCCCACCCTTTCATCATCGCTCTCAGCTGCCCCATTCCCTGCAGCTGAACCCAGACCCCCATTCCTCCACCTTTGCCAGCATCTGTCAAGACTTAGATCTTGCCAAGAACTCCCCGGTTGCCACTCTTCTGTAAACCCCTCAAAGTCATCGCTGGAGGTAGGCTGGGTACAGATATCCCTAATCTCCTGTACACGGGTCCAGTCAAGCTCATCCTCATCCCCCATGTCACTCCAAGACCCATCACTCCCTTCAAAGCCCATGAAGTCTTCATCCTCTGTAGGAGCGCTAAGTATATCAAGGATACACTTCCTTTAAATCTCCCCGTCAGATTCTTGTTCACGAGTAGCCTGCTTGACTCCCCTGCTTTCCTCCCCATCCCCCATTTCACAGTCGGAGAAACCCTCAAAAGTGTCAGAATCAGTCGGGGCCATGATTATCTCTCTAATCCACTTTTGCTGCTGTTCCTCCTCTAACACCTGCACAGCCCTCTTCTCCCTCCTACCAGTAGTAGCAACGTTACCACCACGCTGTACTACAACAGTCTCTCAGCCCAAGTTACTGGTTACAGGGTTAAAAAGATGGATAACACAACAGACACGGAAATTATTTAACTGGTTATGGGCCTCTACAGGGTCCATGGTAGGTTAAACCGTTAAACTGCAGAACTTGCTGACCAGAAGATTGACGGTTCAAATTTGCTCCCACTGTTAGCTCCAGCTTCTGCCAACCTAGCAGTTCAAAAACATGCAAATGTGAGTAGATCAATAGGTACCACTCCTGCAGGAAGGTAACAGTGCTCCATGCAGTCATGCGGGCCACATGACCTTGGAGGCATCTATGGACAATGCTGGCTCTTCGACTTAGAAATGGAGATGAGCACCATCCCCCAGAGTCAGACATGACTAGACTTCATGTCAGGGGAAACCTTTACCTTTACTGAAGCCAAATGTAGGAAAATGTTCTTAGGTTTTCTTTTAATTTGATCTATTTATTTATTATTTATTTATTTAAGACATTTTATATTCCGCCCTTCTCACCCCGAAGAGGACTCAGGGCGGAGCACAGCATATATATGGCAAACATTCAATGCTGGGACAAAAATTCATATACACATACATAAACATTAAAAACATTTATCGCAAATGCACCTGGAGATGGGGCAATTTTCAAGAAGAAGGAAATAACCTGATGGAAAAAGTGCCAAGTGCCCTTGAGTCTACACTGTTTGCAGCATCTTTGTGTTGCTCACCATTGAGGAAAAGTTGGGAAACGTCTGGCAATCTTTCCTGAACATAGTATCTAATCTGACACTTGGTGGAGTAGGACTACCCATTCCTGTATCTCTCTCCATCTCTCTCTGGAGTGACACACAATATTACTCCTCCTTACCACCTCTTCAGTATCACCATCCTTATCATATTAGTCTGGAATATCAGTATCTTGTAGAATTTTTGAGACTGAGAGAAAGAAGTTGGTAGCATAAGCTTTCATAGACCAAGCCTGCATTTGAAGAAGTAGAAAGGGCCGATCCAGACAGCCCCTTTATTGCGGAAACTTCCACAATAAAAAGGGGACTGTCCAGACGACGTTCAGTCCTGCATTAATTGGGTACAAACCAGGAAAACCCTCGTTTGTGCCTAATTAATTTGTTAGTGGATTTATTCTTGGCTTTCTTGGAAGGCGTGGGAAAAATCCAGTATTTCCAGTATTCTGCAGTCCAGACACCATTCCGACAATTTGTGGAAATATCCACCCAATTGTATTGTCGAAGGCTTTCATGGCCGGAATCACTGGGTTGTTGTAGGTTTTTCCGGGCTATATGGCCATGTTCTAGAGGCATTTTCTCCTGACGTTTTGCCTGCATCTATGGCAAGCATCCTCAGAGGTAGTGAGGTCTGTTGGAACTAGGAAAATGGGTTTATATATCTGTGGAATGACCAGGGTGGGACAAAGGACTTTTGTCTGCTGCAGCTAGGTGTGAATGTTTCAACTGACCACCTTGATTAGCATTTAATGGCTTGGAAATGCCTGCAGGACAAAGTCCTTTGTCCCACCCTGGTCATTCCACAGATATAAACCCATTTTCCTACTTCCAACAGACCTCACTACCTCTGAGGATGCTTGCCATAGATGCAGGCGAAACGTCAGGAGAAAATGCCTCTAGAACATGGCCATATAGCCCGGAAAAACCTACAACAACCCATCCACCCAATTTCCCCCAAGCCCCCAGACACCTTAGAAAAGTAGTAAAAACTTACCTATCATCCATTAAAAGCCTCTGCAAGCTCTCTTGGTGTGTAGAAATGACACATCAGGAGAGCTGGTAGGAGGGAGGAAAATCACACACGCACCCCCTGCACTCCTGGCGCGTTATTTCTACATGCCAGGAGAGCTTGCCGAGGCTTCTAATGGGTGATAGGTAAGTTTTTACTACTTTTCTAAGGGGTCTGGGGGCTTGGGGAGAGGGGAATAAGGCCTCCAGACATTCTCTCGGGCTAGTCCCGAGAGAATGTCTGGACAACAACGCCAGAAAGCATGCGCTTTCTGGTGTGGGTGTGGACAGCCCCCTACAAACATCCGTGTTTTTTTTAACGCAGATGTTTTTGGGATAAAGGGCTGTCTGGAACTGCCCTGAGTCTATGAAAGCTTGTGCTACCAACATCGTTCTCTCCATCCTAGCCTCAAAAACCTTGAGGGCAGTAGGGATAATGGTTACCCTTACTGCAGAAGAAACGATATATTGCAATGCAGCATATATTCTTTCATGCAACAGCCTTAGAGATAGAGATTGGACACATCCGTTTTGGGGACTGCTCTTTTCACAGTCCTGGTTCACTGGATCCTTCCTTGCTTCCCAATTCAACCAGTTCTGAGAAGCTTGCCTGTGCCAAGAATGCAAAACAGGCTGCACCCAGATGCTTTGCCTTGATAACAATGAAAAATTCCTGTGCAGACTGATACATATCAAACAAAAAAGTGCCCCTAGGATTATTTAGTGCTGCCAATGCAGGAATCCACACTTAATCCTGACAGATGGCCATTCAACTTATTTTAATAAACAAAGACAAACTCATCACATTCTGCACTCAAATGGCATTTACCATCAGAAGAGTCTTCATAATGTTTATTCATAATCTCCTTTTTTGTAATGTGGACCTATTTATTTGGGTGCTACTCTTTGGAGTAACAAAAAACACATCTATTTGTTTTCTCACAACAGCCCTTCAGATATTTGAAAGGCTTACTTGTTGTTGTCCTCCCTTGGATATGTCCTATTTTGTCAATACCCTTTTTGATCATCATCTATGCTGATGATTGTGCCATCACTGCTCAAGCAGGGAGCCTTGAAATGGTTGAACAGAAGCTCTCCAAAGCTTTAGGTACTCTTACTGCCTATTACTGGGGAAACCAGCTGATTCCTAATCCATCTAAAATGCAGACGTGTGCTTTCCACCTTAAGAACAGACAAACATCTCGAGGTCTGAGGATTACCTGGGAAGGAATCCCACTGGAGCATTGCAGCACATCCAAATACCTCGAAGTCACTCTGGACCATGCTCTGACTTACAAGAAGCACTGCTTGACTATCAAGCAAAAAGTGGGTGCTAGAAAAAAATATCGTGCAAAAGCTGACTGGCACAACCTGGGGATCACAACCAGATACAGTGAAGACATCTGCCCTTGCGTTTTGCTAATCTTCTGCTGAATATGCATGCCTAGTGTGGAATACATCTCATCATGTTAAAACAGTGGATGTGGCTCTTAATGAGACATTCCACATCATCGCAGGATGTCCATGCCCTACGCCACTGAAGGAATTATAGTGTTTAGCCTGTATTGCACTACCTGATATCTGCCATGAAGTAGCAGCCTGTAATGAAAGTATCAAAGCATTAACATCTCCAGGCCATCCTCTCATAGAATCATAGAATCAAAGAGTTGGAAGAGACCTCATGGGCCATCCAGTCCAACCCCCTGCCAAGAAGCAGGTATATTGCATTCAAATCACCCCTGACAGATGGCCATCCAGCCTCTGTTTAAAAGCTTCCAAAGAAGGAGCCTCCACCACGCTCCGGGGCAGAGAGTTCCACTGCTGAACGGCTCTCACAATCAGGAAGTTCTTCCTTATGTTCAGATGGAATCTCCTCTCTTGTAGTTTGAAGCCATTTTTCCGCGTCCTAGTCTCCAGGGAAGCAGAAAACAAGCTTGCTCCCTCCTCCCTGTGGCTTCTTCTCACATATTTATACATGGCTCTGTTGGGATATCAACCAGCATGCCAATTTCTTAAATCAAGATATAGCTTCCTAAGATCTACAGAGATACTCACAGGAACACCTCAGTAAGTGAGAGTCTAAAAGTGGCAGGGTAAAATCTGGAACCTCAATCAGTGGCTGAGACCGGATGAGAAACTCCCTCCTGGGCACACAGAAGACTGGGCAATTTGGAAGGAAGGCGCTGAACAGGCTGCGCTCTGGCACCACAAGATGCAGAGCCAATCTTAAGAAATGGGGCAACAAAGTGGAGCCCACGACAGTTGAGTGCGGAGGAGAGCAAACCATAGACCACTTACTACAATGCAGTGTGAGCCCCACCACATGCACAAAGGGGAACCTTCTCACAGTGAAACCAGAGGCACTCCAAGTGGCCAGCTTCTGGTCAAATTTATTTATTTATTTATTTATTTATTTATTTATTTATTTATTTATTTATTTATAGCTTTTATATTCCGCCCTTCTCACCCCGCAGGGGACTCAGGGCGGATTACAGTGTACACATATATGGCAAACATTCAATGCCAATTTTTGACATACAAACATATACAGACATACACAGAGGCTATTTAACTTTTTCTGGCCGCCAGGGGAGCTGTCGCTTTCATCGTCCATCTGCAATGCTGATGAAGCACTTCCGCATTCCCCGCATGCTTCCCCCGTTGGAATGCTTTGCTGGAGTCTTCTTTATGGCCTCATAAATCAGTTAATTTAGCCTCCCCACACTTTAAGGTGGTACCTTATTTTCCTACTTGACAGATGCAACTGTCTTTCGGGTTGCAAAGGTCGACAACAGGCTACACACAATTGGTTGGAAACCCACTCCAACCCGGGCTGGCTGCAAACTCATGACCTTTTGGTCAGAGTGATCTTAATGCAGCTGACACTCAGCCAGCTGTGCCACAATGTCAAAGGACATTTAGTATAATGCCAAGTGTTTAACTTTGTGGGTTTTTTATACATTATACCTGTATTTTCAACTCATTTCTGACAAGATAAAAAAATATCCTTCTTAAATGGTATTTAATGGGGAAAGGGAGGAAGCAGAGGGGAAAGGAATTTAGCAGTGTCTTTAATACTTATTCTTTTATCATATGCTTTCTGTGGGTTTCAGTCCATTTCCTCAGATGCAACGGCAGAGTGATATTAAAGTCTGGAAATTAAGCATTATTGTGGGAATGGGATAGAATGTGATTCCTGGGGAAACAACCCAGCCTGTTCCTGTTTTCATTGCAACTGTTTGTATTGCCTTTCTAGGCTCTAAGAGAAGAGTACTATAAAGGGCAGTACTGTACTGTCTGGCAGAATATTTCCTATTGGGGCCACAAGAAGAATATCTACACCATGTGGGTCACCAACACGAGCTGTGGCGTGTCACCTGTACACTATGAGATGAGAGGCTACAACACTTTGCTGGGGTCCCATTATGACAAATATGAAATAGATTACACTGACTTTTCCAACAGCTTCCCAGCTTCTGTCTTTGTCCTGAAAAAGAATGGTGAGTAACACATTTTGTATTATACTAGCTGTCCCCTGCCACATGTTGCTGTGGCCCAGTCTGTTGATCTGGAAAATAAAGTAATGAGAAAGTGTTGGTTTCTAATATATGTAATTTCTTTATATTTGTGGGTAAACAATATTTCTTTGTCAGTGTTGATGTGGAGAGTGCCTGGTTTGCCCTATGATACTATATCTCTCTGTGTGTGAATCATATCTATCTATCATCTATCTATCTATCTATCTATCTATCTATCTATCTATCTATCTATCTATCTATCTATCTATCCATCCATCCATCCATCCATCCATCCATCCATCCATTCATATCTATAGCTTGATGGTTCTTTGTCAGGAGGACTTTGATTATGTTTTTTTGCCCTGATGAAGGAAGTTGGGTTGGATGGCCTTAAGTATTTTCTGTTCGTCATGGGGATTCTGTGTGGGAAGTTTGCCCTGATTCTGTCATTTGTGGGGTTCAGAATGCTCTTTGGACGCTCGTACTAGCCATCCCCTGCCATGCGTTGCTGTGGCCCACATGGCTGTTCTGTGTGGAAGGTTTGGCCCAATTCTATCGTTGGTGGGGTTCAGAATGCTCTGTGATTGTAGGTGAACTATAAATCCCAGCAACTACAACTCCCAAATGTCAAGATTCTATTTTCCCCAAACTCCACCAGTGTTCACATATTGACATATTGAGTATTCTTAGAGTTTGATCCAAATCCGTCATTGTTTGATCTTTGGATGTAGGTGAACTACAACGCCAAAACCAAAGGACACTGCTCACCAAACCCTTCCAGTATTTTCTGTTGGTCATGGGAGTTCTGTGTGCCAAGTTTGGTTCAATTCCATCGTTGATTGAGTTCAGAATGCTCTTTGATTGTAGGTGAACTATAAATCCCAGCAACTACAACTCCCAAATGACAAAATCATAATTTTTTGAGTGATGGTCACTCCTTGTGTTGTGAGATGTTTTGCTGCCAAATTTGGTGTGATTTCGTTCATTGGTTCTTTTGTTTTTAAGGTACTCATTATGCACAGAGCATTTTTATATATATAGATCTTTGGGCTAGAGCCCTGATAGCTTAAACCAAAGACCTATTTAGCCCAACATTAAATTCCATAGAGAACAAAGTTTAAGAGAACATGAGGGAACAGCACCTTCCTGCCCAGAAGCCACTGCTAATTGTAGTAACAATACTACTAGTAGTAATAGCAATAATATTTAAATCCCATCTTCCTGGTTGGGAATTCCACGCTTGCAAAAGACGAAACGGTGCAGTAAAAATCCACATCTTAAAAAGTTTAAAATGATATTAAAAGCAGATTAAAAGCAGGATATTTTGTAAACTTCTTACAAGTCATTTCTAAATCATGTAACCGTAAGGTTTGTTCAGAGCGGGTTTGACATTCTCTTCCTCTGCAGCTGACAGAATGCCACTCAGTCACTCAAAACTTGCTCCATGGTTCTAGCCCCAACTCAGACCACTCCATACTACACTGGTTCTCAAGAGAGAGAAATTACAAATATTAGACATACATCTTGACCTCCTTCCCTGGTTTTGTGTGGAACCAGGAAATTAGATCATACCTTAGTCTGTCCTAGCCTGTGCATATTTGAAACAAGGGAAAGGGTTTCCATGGAAAACGGGAGCAATGAAGGAGAGGGGCCACATGAGGAATAGGAGGCGTGAGGGAAAGAAACTGTCAGTTGGAATTTTGTTTTGTACCACATGCTTTTAGAAATAAAGCCTTCCCACTCTGTTTGTGAGGTAATTTCTTTACCAGAAAGCTGCGGATCTGGACAGCATATTGTGAAATGTCTCTCAAAGTCTTGGGGAAAGACTTGTTTATTTACCCTGTTTATACCCCATCTTTGTCTACCCCGAAGGGGACTCAAGAAGGCTTACATTTAGGCAATTATTCAGTGCCTTAAACCATATACGAGGGGTATTTTTTAAGTAAGGTCCGTTTTGTTGTAGACACTAGTAGTTCGTGCGCATACCGCAACGAGCGCGTGCGTCGTGTACCGGCATGCCTCGGGAACAACTGTGCTCAGTTTCCGCTCTGTAGCTAACCTGTACGGTTCTGTTCTGTGCTTTAAAAATGTTTAAGACTATCAACTCACTCGCCGCATGTGAGGTTCGCTCGCTTCAACTGAAGCCACCAAATTGTCTGTAATCAAAGAATGGCGACCGGAGCAGTCCTCATCATGGACATTGTCACGGCCATCTTTGAATTGTTGTACCCACTTACGCACTTTGCTTTCACTCATAACAGTATCACCGTACACTTCACCAATCTGTCGATAAATTTCTGAAGCAGGCAGGTTCCTTGCTGACAAAAACCGTATCACTGAGCAAACCTCACATGCGGAGGGTGAGTTGATAGTCTTAAACATTTTTAAAGCACAGAACAGAACCGTACAGGTTAGCTACAGAGCGGAAACTGAACACAGTTGTTCCCGAGGCATGCCAGTACACGATGCACGCGCTCGTTGCGGTATGCGCGCGAACTACTAGTGTCTACAACAAAACGGACCTTACTTTAAAAATACCCCTCGTACAATTCCAGTAACTTTAAAATTAAATTACAATTAATACATATTAAGCATTTAAAACATTTTAAAACATTATATTCAATATAAATCACACCATCCATAATCATAGTCCAAAGACATTCTGTAGTCATTGTACACATTACAAATCTGTTATTCCACTGCACTATTCTCCCAAAGCCAGGTTTTACTTTTCTTTTGAAGAATAGAAGGGAGGGGGCTGATCTGATGTTGCTGGAGAGGGAGTTCCATAGTCAAGGAGCCACCACTGAGAAGGCCCTGTCCCTCATCCCCACCAGTAGTGCTTGTGAGGAAGGCGGGACCGAGAGCCCTTTTTGAAACAAAGGTTTCTTGTGGAGTCCCAAGAAATGTTTATATTTCTGAAACTGGTTCAAGTTGGTGAAAGAGCAATCACATATCCTCCATTTTCTCATAAAAGTTTGTATGGCCTTACCTAGTAGGCTATCAGCAATCAGAGCCTGGAGTAGCAACCAAGATAACCTTTTCCTGTTTTTTCCTAACACGTGACAGTTGTGAAACTGTGTCGGGGCTGTCCCTAGAAGATCTCATCATAGGCAGCCTCATAGGAGAAAAATGTAGTTGCTAGATCAACTGTAAAAAAATATGCCCCACTGACATTTCATAATACTAATATTGTGCTGTGCTAATAATTATAATATATTGTATGTACATAGAATACTGATCATAATATTGTAATGCAATATAATACCAATAATAATACAATATAATAATATAATAATTATATATTTTGTATTACATGTAATATTACTAATAATATTGCAGTATAGAGGTATAGTACAATATAGTAATATAGAATACTTATATTGTGCTATGCTAAAGATATAATATATTGTATGCACATATAACTTGTAAGCTGCTCTGGGTCCCCTTCGGGGTGAGAAGGGTGAGATATAAATGTCATAAATATATACATATTTTATAGAAATGCTTTGCAATGTATCTTTTATGGAACTGCATAATAATAATAATAATAATAATAATAATAATAATAATAATAACAATATACTTTATTTATATTCTGCTCTATCTCTCTGAGGGGACTCAGGGTGGATTACAGAACACATATACAGCAAACATTCAATGCCGTTATACAATTGACAAGGACAGACAATACATAATCAGAGGTATAGGCTTTTCCCATCTTTTTCCATCTCTGGCATCTGGAGGCTATGCTCAACTCTGGCTACGAGAGGTGCTGTCACTCCATCTTCCATGCCGAGGAACTTTTGTTGTCCATGGTCGACTTCCTAATCGAAGCATTGGCATGTCCTTATAGGCGCCTTTTATTACTTCCCTGCTTTAAAGCAGTGTCTATTTATTTCCTCACATTGCTGTTTTCGATCTGTTGGTGGGCAGAAGCTGGGCTGACAGCCGGGAGCTCACCCTGACCCAGGCTTGAACTGTCAACCTTTCAATTGGCAATAATTTCTGCAGCTGGTGTTTAACCTACTGTGCTAAAGCCTGGCCCTTTAATATGTGTGTTTGTAGATTTTCTTTATAGTTTTTGTGTGTTTTTGACTGTGCTGTGACCCACTTCGAACCATGAGGATAAGAAATTAAATTGTTATTATTATTGTTACCTTATTGTTACCTGTCACCCCCTTGTATTCTCTCCTTAGAAACAAAATTATGTGACGAATTACCAGGGGACTCTTCGGAGCACCACATCATGGCAAACCCCATGGCTGATTTCATTGGAGGACAGGAGGATCGGGCTCACCAACTATTTCACCATTATAGAAAACGGTTTGGGAAGTCCTATGATGATGAGAAGGAAATGGAACACAGGAAGCACACCTTCACCCACAACATGAGGTATGTCTCCTTGCACATCCCATCTTCTTCCTCTGTAAAGCTCAATATTTGGATCTAGTTATGGTTCATTCCACAGCAACCTCAGCTTGGTCTCCATCAAGGAAGCAAAAGTTGGAAGGGGATGTTTGCCAATGGAAGTTGGGGCTTGGAACAGAAGGAAGGTCTTGTCTCTTTGACCTGACAGAGCTTTACAGGATCCCATCCTGCTTCCGGATCTGTTAAGCATCAAAGTCAAAATAGGCCTTCCCAAGTTCCATTCTACTTTCGACAGAGAAAGCCAACTGTAGAAAAGTTGAGTGAGAAGCACCATAATAATAATAATAATAATAATAATAATAATAATAATAATACTTTATTTATACTCCGCCACCATCTTCCCAAGGGACTTGGAGTGGCTTACATGAGGCAAAGCCCAACAACACATCAAAAACAACAAGCAGTAATAAAATAGCAAGCAATAAACAAAATAAACAATATAATTAATATAACAATAAACACAAGATTTTAAAAACCTATGGCTGGGCCAAATGTAATAGTTAAAACTTTAAAAATAAATGCTGGACATGTCTCTATTTGGAGGGTTTTAAATCAAAAGTAAAGAGAAACCAACGGGTAATTAAAGTGCTTCTCAGAGTGTTTGCAGGGGATGGTTTCCTTTATCCAGGGAGGGCACACTGGAACAGCCACGTTTTCAGGCTCCTCCTAAAGACTGCCAATGTGGGGGCTTGTCTGATATCCTTGGGGAGTGAGTTCCAGAGTCGAGGGGCAACCACAGGGAAGGCCCTCTCCCTCGTCCCCACCAATCGCGCCTGCGAGGGAAGTGGGAGCGAGAGCAGGGCCTCCCCAGATGAACAGAGAGATCGTGTGGGTTCGTATACAGAAATGCGGTCACGCAGGTAGGCGAGTCCCGAACCGTTCAGGGCTTTGTAGGTCAAAACCTGCACCTTGAATTAGAATCGGAAAATGAACGGCAGCCAATGGAGCTCCTTAAACAGGGGGGTTAACCACTCCCTATAAGTCGCCCCAGTAAGTAACCTGGCTGCCGCCCGCTGGACCAATTGAAATTTCCGAGCCATCTTCAAGGGCAGCCCCATGTAGAGTGCATTACAGTAATCCAATCTGGTGACTAAGGCGTGGACCACCCTGGCCAGATCAGACTTCATGAGGTATGGTCACAGCTGGCACATGAGTCTTAGATGTGTGAAGGCCCTCCCAGCCACCGACRACGCCTGAGCTTCAAGTGTTAGCGATGAGTCTAGGAGGACACCCAAGCTGCGGACCTGAGCCTTCAGGGGGAGTGCAACCMCATCGAGCACAGGTTGCCACCCTATACCCCGATCCGGCTTACGATCAACCAGGAGGACCTCTGTCTTGTCAGGATTGATTCTCAGCTTATTCATCCTCATCCAGACAGCCACAGCAGCCAGGCACTCRTCCAGCACCCGAGGGGCTTCCTTGGAATTAGGTAGAAAAGAGTAGTAGAGTTGGGTATCATCTGCGTAGAGATGGCATCCAACTCCAAAACTCCAGATAACCTTGCCCAGCAGTTTCATGTAGATGTTGAAAAKCATGAGGGACCGAATGGAACCTTGTGAGCCCCASRGGTCACAAGGCCAGGGGTCYRAGCAGGTGTCCCCCAGCTTCACCAACTGGGAATGGCCCTCCAGGAAGGACTGGAGCCACGACWGAGCCGTGCCTCCAAGACCCATCCCGGAGAGCCCAGAAGAATACCATGGTCGATGGTATCGAAAGCCGGCGAGATGTCCAAGAGAACCAGCAGGGTCACACTCCCCCATCCAACTCCCTGCGGAGGTCATCCACCAAGGCGACCAAAGCCGTCTCGGTACCTTGACCAGGCCTAAAGCCAGACTGTGACTGGTCCAGGTAGTCGATGTCATCCAGGAATCCCTGGAGCTGAGAGGCGACCACCTGCTCCAGCACCTTGTCCAAAAAAGGGAGGTTGGAAAATGGCCCGTAGTTGCTCAGAACCATGGAGTCAAGGGAGGCCTTTTTCAGGAGTGGTCTCACCACAGCCTGTTTCAAACCAGATGGAAATGTCCCCTGCTCCAACGATGCATTGATGATCATCACAAACCAATCAATCAACCCACCCCTGGCCAATTTAATTAGCCAAGAAGGGCAAGGGTCCAGAGCCAATGTTGTCGCTCTCATAGCCCCAAGGACCCTCTCCACTTCATCAGGGTGAACAAACTGGAAAGAATCTCACAAAATAAGCAGATGTATTGTCAAAGGCTTTCATGGCTGGAAATACTGGAGTGTTGTGTAGTTCCTGGGCTGTATGGCAGTATTCTAGCAGCATTTTCTCCTGATATTTTGCCTGCATCTGTGCCTGGCATCTTCAGAGGATCTTCTAAAGATGCCAGGAACAGATGCAGGTGAAACGTCAGGAGAAAATCCTGCTATAACATGGCCATACAACCTGGAAATCACACAACACACCATCTGGAGATATTTGCTGCTCAAGCTGTTCCTAGTACATAGGCTTTTTATTTTTGTTCTAGATTTGTCCACTCAAAGAACCGAGCCAACCTCCCCTTCAAGCTGGCTCTGAACCACTTAGCTGACCTCACCCACGATGAGTTGGCGGTGATGAGAGGAAAGCTCAAGAGCACGAAACCTAACAATGGCCTGCCTTTCCCCGAGGAGCAGTTTGTGGGTCTCATTCTGCCAGAGAGCTTGGATTGGCGGCTCTATGGTGAGTGGATGCCAGTCCCATTTGGGCAAGGACAAAAGGATGCTTTTGCACATATTTTTTCAAACTATGTGTGATCTCCTTGTATCACTCTGTCTCTAGTCCATTCATGCGTCCTTCGTGGGGAGTGAGGAATGGTTGAGGGGAGCCAACTTTTTGTAATGCATACAGGTCACAAGTGACATGTTGCCTTCTTGCCTATTTAGAGCAAGTACATGTTTTGCTTTAAAAGTGATTCCCAAACTAGGGTCCTCGTATATTGTTGGATTTATCAGAAACTAGGGATCTCATCACATTAGAGAATGAATCCTCCTTGAATCCGGTTTCTGCCTCCTGCAAAATTTTGCGGTTTGTAGTTTAGGGAGGAGCCTTTAACAGTAGGAGGCAGAAACTCATTCTCTAGTGTTTTATCAGTGTAATCATGTTTTATTTAATTATTTGTATCTTTTGTTATTTTTATTTTTAATTCCATTTCTTTTTAGTTATAAGTTTATTGGTGCTATTTGTATGCTGTTTGTTTACATTTGTTTTTACTATAACGTTGAATGTTTGCCTTTTTGTATGTAAACTGCACTGCATCCCCTTGGGGAGAGAGGGTGGTCTATAAATACAACAACAACAATATTATAAAGTTAAGTAATAATAACGAGACACTACAGACAGTCCTCAAGTTATGAGAAAGAAATGTTCTGTAATCTTTTTCTTAAGTTAAATTTGTTTGTAAGTTGGAACAGGTGCATTTTTTAAGTTACTTAGGCAATCCCTCATAGACCGAGGATTATGGTCCTCCAAGTGTAGTGTCTTGGCGGTGGGTCTGTACGTGATCCACATGTTCTTCCTCCGTGCGGACATTGGTTTCCAGGTGAACAGTGGTCCCGGCTTTATGCGCCTTCGTCCTTTTGGTACATTTCTCCCAAAATACATACATTGATAAAGCAAAAACAGTCAGAGTGCTCAAGGGCCAGGACTTTCCAGTTCTCGGAGTCTATGCCACAGTTTTTAAGGTTATCTTTAAGCCCATTGTTACGTCAATGCTTTTATCCTCACTCTGGTTTGCTTTTGGAGGAAATTCTACGCCAGGGTCTCAGCTGAAAATAAAAGCATACTTTCTGCCTCAACAAAGGATCACACTTGGTATTATCTCTCCTATCAGCCACAACAATTCCAATTATTGTAAAGCCCACTCTGTAAAAAATCAGAGTGTGAGAATAATGTGCCACAGTAGCATGTTGCCTTTCTCCTTGGCCATTGCAAAGCTGAAAGCAGAAGTTTTCAGGCCAAAGAACAGATCTGACAACACACTTATTCCTGCTTGCTCAACCCCGCAGACTGTGGGAACTGCCCCACTATGAGAGTTGTCCACTTTTAGAATTGCATTTCTTAGGAAGCTTCCTTATTGCTACTCCAGTTATTACGAGTCTCACTTTAATTAAGATTTCCTGAATCATCCGCTACTAAAAGATGCAGGTTATAACTTTCCAAGAGCTGAGCTACTGGAAGTTCCAGTCTGGAACACAGAGCTTCTTAGAGGATTTAAGCTTCTCTGGAAATTAACTTTAGGATGAGCTGCATTTCAAAGGCTGATGACAACGAAAGTGTCCAAGCTATGCACCTAACTAGACATTAAGAGTACTATGTCTTCTCTGCAATGAACCATATATTCCATTCTGTGCCCATAATGCAAGACAAGTAGGTGAGGAAAATAATATGCTGTTACAGACATCTTTCATCACTCGAGGAAACACTTCTGCGCCAAACATAATGAAGTATCATATAGATTGACCCTGTGTATTTTGCAATCTATCCAGGTGCCGTGACTCCAGTCAAAGACCAGGCGGTATGTGGTTCTTGCTGGAGCTTTTCTAGTACCGGAGCACTGGAAGGGGCTCTATTCCTCAAGGTAAGAGTCGGGCCCATTTCAAGAAGAAATTCCTTTGGATCAGAGCTTCCCAAACTTTGGCAGCCGCTGAGCCCTTTTTGAAGCAAATGTTTATCGTAGAGCCCCAAGAAATGTTTAGATATTATATTATATTATATTATATTATATTATATTAYATTATRTYATATTRTRTTCAATGTSTGTGTATGTGTGTGTGTGTGTGTGTGTGTGTGTGTGTGTGTGTATCAGGCGTGGGCAAACTTTTTGCACAAATACCATCTTTGCCTGCGACAAAGAAGTGCTGRGATCACTGTTGGAACCCAGACACCTTAAAGAGCCAGACTCAAGAGTATGTCCAAAAGTAGAGTTTATTTAAACAAAGCAAAAGGGACTCAGAGACACTTAACTCAGTGTCTCTGGTCAAAACTCAAAAGTAGCAACTAGTTCTAATTCAAAAGGTAAACTGAAGCAATAATCCGGATTATCTGGAGAAAAGATCCGGATTAAAACAAAGCGCTCCAAAAGTCACACAAAATAATACAGCAAGTAAAGGGTTAGCAAACAAATTGCTGCAAGGAAGAAGACGTAGTCAAACCAAGTCCRAGGTCATAGTAAGCCGAGTCCAAAATTGCGAGGTTCCAAAATCCACGTAGGCAGCGTCRTAGTCAAAACCGGTCCGAAGTCAAAGAAGGGGAAATCTGCACTCACGAGAATCCAACCCGAGTCGAAACACACATGAACGGAAACAGCAACCTGCAGATCCAGGACCCAATACCAACACGAAATAGGCAGCGACAAAACCCAAGGCACGAAACCAACACTTTGCCTTCTGCAAAGATTCTCCATTTCAGAGCCTACTTTTATCTTACACCTCATCATCCGAAGATGAGCTGACCTCCACCACATATCATCTCTTACAGCTGTCCTTGACTCCACACATGAACTCCGACGCCCATCCCTCCAACTCCTCCATCTTCTGTCAAGACTTAGATCCCCCAAGACTCAGAAGTATCTCCCGACTACCAATCCCCACCACCAGAAAACCCCACAAACGTGTCACTAGACGTTGGCTCTGCACATACATCTTGTACCTCTTGTACCTTCGTCCAGTCCAGTGTGTCATCCTCACTTTAATCACTCTCTAACCCAGTGGTTCTCAACCTGGGGTCCCCAGATGTTTTTGGCCTACAACTCCCAGAAATCCCAGCTAGTTTACCAGCTGTTAGGATTTCTGGGAGTTGTAGGCCAAAAACATCTGGGGACCCACAGGTTGAGAACCACTGCACTAACCCATCACTCCCAGAGAACCCTGCAAATGACTCTTCCTCTGTGGGAACAGTAAGTATATCCCGGATCTTCTTCCTTTGTCACTCCTCATCCGATTCTTGCTCCCGAGTAACCCTCTTAGTTCCCCTATTCACATCCACTGTATCTCCTTCCTCTCCCTCACTCATTGACCCTTCGTTATCAGAGAACCCTTCGAATGAGTCTTCATCGCTAGGTGCCATAAATATATCCCGGATCCTTTTCCTTTGTTGTTCCTCATTTAACTCTTGCTCACGAACACTCCTTTTTCCCCTTCTGACACCCATACTACCACTTGCAACGTTACTTACATGCTCTACTACAACAATCACATGCCTGAAAAAGTTACAGAAAATGAACATGTCAAAATACTGTGGGACTTTCAAATTCAGACTGACAGAGTTTTGGAGTACAATACTCTTTACCGCCCGATCGTGTTAGAAAACCAAGTATGGATTGTCGATGTTGCAATCCCAGGCAACAGGATTTAAGAGAAACCACTGGAAAAACTGACACAATACGAGGACCGCATTTCCATCTGTGCGACCGCATTTCCATCTACGAACCCACACGATCTCTTCGATCTTCCTGAGAGGCTCTTCTCTCGCTCTCGCTTGCATCGCAAGTGTGATTTGCGGGGATGAGAGAGAGGGCCTTCTCTGTGATGGCTCCCTGGCTCTGGAACTCACTCCCCAGAGATATTAGGCAAGCCCCCATGCTGGCCATCTTCAGGAGGAATCTGAAAACCTGGTTATTCCAATGTGCCTTCAGTGATTGAATGTAGGATACTCCCTGACTAAACTTTGCACAAAATGTCCTTAGAAGCACTTTATTTTATGGCTCGTGCAATTAAATCCTCCTCATTCCCAAATCCTCCTCCTTATAACTTATATTTTCCTATCTCCCAGTGTTTAAAAATTTTACCCTTCAATCTGGCCCTGCCCAGTGAAATCTTCTGTGTTTTTAATGTTTGAATTTATATTGCTGTGTCGTTTATTATGTTGGCTTTGCATTTTATGTAATTTTTTGGTGCTATTATGTTTTTGCGTTATATTATGTGTACTGTGTTGATGGGTGTGGCCTCATGTAAGCCGTATCGAGTCCTCCTGGGGGAGATGGAGCGGGGTATAAATATATTATTATTATTGTTGTTGTTATTATTATTATTATTATTATTATTATTATTTAAAGATCAAACTGCAAAGACTCTGGCACAAGCCAGTCAAAGTGGTCCCAGTGGTGATCAGCACACTGGGTGCAGTGCCTAAAGATCTTGGCCTGTACTTAAACACAATCAGCACTGACAAAATAACCATCAGTCAGCTGCAAAAGGCCATCCTACTGGGATCTGCACGCATTATTCACCGATACATCACACGGTCCTAGACACTTGGGAAGTGTCCGACATGTGATCCAATACAACAGCCAGCAGAGTGACTTTGTTTGCTGTGTACTATTCTTTTTTTTTGTTTCAAATAACAACAACAACAACAATAATATTAGGAGCAACCTCAAAGCCCATCCATTCCAACCCCCTTCATTCTTCCATGCAGGAAAAGCACAATCAAAGCATTTCCAACAGATAGCCAGCCAGCCAACTACTATTTTATGATTCTAGTATTGTGTGACTGTGCAAGCAGCAGTTCTTCAGTCATTCTGAAGCTGTTGTCTTTCTCCTCTATTTACCCAGACTGGTCAGCTCCTCCCTTTGTCTCAGCAAATCCTCATTGACTGCTCTTGGGGCTTTGGGAACTACGCCTGCGATGGTGGCGAAGAATGGCAAGCATTTGAATGGGTCCTGAAGCACGGTGGCATTGCCAGCACAGAATCCTATGGGCCATACAAAGGCCAAGTGAGTAGGAGAAATATACTAAGTAGGGTATTGCAAGGATGGGGAAATCTCAGAATCAGGACCATGTTTTACCTTCCTAGCATCCTAATCTGACTCATGGGTCCCCCAGATGGCTTCACCCCGTTTCCATGATACTTCCATTAGGTCAGGCATGGGCAAACTTGGCCCCTCCAGGTGTTTTGGACGTCAACTCCCACCATTCCTAACAGCCGGTAGGCTGTTAGGAATGGTGGGAGTTGAAGTCCAAAACACCTGGAGGGGCCAAGTTTGCCCATGCCTGCATCAAGTACTTTCCTAACTTTTGCATGTTGTCTGCCCCATTCTAAAAGGTTGAGATGCCATAAGGACTCCAATCTAAAATATGGTAGTTTGTTCCCACCCATTTGCTTTTGACCGACATCCCACTAAAATGTGAACTTCTCTGAAAATGAATTTGCTCCTTGGATTAAAAGGGGAAGGAAAATCAGAAGTATGAAATCCCTTTGTGAAGAAGATGATGGAGGTCAAGATGCGCTCTGAAAGAGCGGGATAGTTACTCATTGTTCAAGGCCCCTTCTACACTAGATCTAGATCAGTGGTTCTCAACCTGGGGTCCCCAGATGTTTTTGCCTTCAACTCTTAGAAATCCTAACAGCTGGTAAACTGGCTGGGATTTCTGGGAGTTGTAGGCCAAAAACATCTGGACCCCATGTTGAGAACCACTGATCTAGATTATATGACAGTGTAGACTCATATAGTCCAATTCAGTGTGGATTATCTGCTTTGATAATCTGGATTATTTGGCAGTGTAGCAGGGGCTTGGATCTACACTGCCATATAAACCAGATTATCAATTCAGATAATCCAGATATGGCAGTGTAGAACGGCCCCAAGATATCTTTATGTTGATATTATGGAAGTTGAGGTCCAACAGAACTGGGAAGGTAGCATCTTGAAGAAGGTGATTTCAGGAACTTCCTGACCAATGTGAGCAGAAAGGGAAATAGGAAGTGAAATCTTGGAACGTCCCTCTCATACCTTACATTTGTCTTTCTTGTTATGTGTCAGAACGGCTACTGTCACAGCAACAAGACTCACCTTGTCGGCAAACTCTCTGGTTATGTGAACGTTACTTCTGGAAACATAACAGCACTGAAGGCTGCGATCTACAAGCATGGCCCCGTGTCCGTCAGCATCGATGCCTCCCACAGAACCTTCTCCTTCTATTCCAACGGTGTTTACTATGAGCCCAAATGTGGTGAGTCACAGTGCACGACACTCATATGTGAAAAATTGTGAATTGGGGGAGAGCACTTTTGGATTGATCTGTTTCTAAAGTACCATATATACTCGAGTATAAGCCTAGTTTTTCAGTCCTTTTTTTAGGCTGAAAAAGTGTCCCCCAGCTTATACTCAAGTCAATATTATTTATTATTTTACTTTGTTGTTATTATTATTAAATTTATTATTTTATTGTTGTTGTTGTTATTATTACATTTATTATTTTACTCTATAGTTATTGTTACATTTATTATTTTACTGTATTGTTATTACATTTATTATTTTACTCTATTATTATTATTTTGCTCTATTTATTACTATTGGAGGACATGTAAGCATATTTAGGTTAGAAGAAGGTTAGAATAATGGTTCAATCAGAGTTGGACAGTCTTATCTTGAATTACAGTTTTATGTATATATTCAAAAACATTTAACCTACTGATGCCTAAATTAATATAATTTTATTGGTATCTATTTTTTTTTTTTGAAATTGACCCATAAATGCTGCATTTCCCACCCTCGGCTTATACCCGAGTCAATACATTTTCCCAGTTTTTTGTGGTAAAATTAGGCTTATTTTCGGGTTGGCTTATACTCGAGTATATACGGTACTTGGTTCTGTGGACTGCTTCCTGTGAGACTTGTCAAATTTATTTATTTATGTATTTATTTATTTATTTTCAGCTTTTATATTCCGCCCTTCTCACCCCGCAGGGGACTCAGGGCGGATTACAGTGTACACATATATGGCAAACATTCAATGCCAATTTTTGAAATACAAACATATACACACATACACAGAAGGCTATTTAACTTTTTCTGGCCGCCGGGGAGCTGTCGCTTTCATCGTCCATCTGCGACGCTGATGAAGCACTTCCGCATTCCCCGCATACTTCCCCGCTGGAATGCTTTGCTGGAGTCTTCTTTATGGCCTCATAAATCAGTTAATTTAGCCTCCCCACACTTTAAGGTGGTACCTTATTTTCCTACTTGACAGATACAACTGTCTTTTGGGTTGCAAAGGTCGACAACAGACTACACAATTGGTTGGAAACCCATTCCAACCCGGGCTGGCTTCGAACTCATGACCTTTTGGTCAGAGTGATCTTAATGCAGCTGACACTCAGCCAGCTGCACCACAATCCCGGTGCACAAATGAGTGGGGCTTCCTTCCAAGTAACACGCAGAGGGTTGCTCAGTCAGCCCGACTCTTGTATAGCAAGCTGGAGAGCGTTGACCACCTAATAATACTGAAGTTGGGGGATCTTTGATTTTTCTGAGTATTTTGAATAGCCACTCCTCTGTCCTTGTGTAAAGAATACTAAAGTGGGTTAACTCATGTAGGAGGTTAAGAATCTTGAGAATGTCAGCCTGGCTAGTGACTTGCATGGTTGCATAAAGTATCGGGTTGGCCAAGTGTGCAGCGTGGTTATTACTCTGCATAATAATCGCCTGATGTAGTAATCCTGTAAGCAATGCAGGGCTATTTGCATCTCATCCATGCCGACAGCCCCATTTGACAGATGTCTCACTTTTGCAGAGAGAATTTGGAATAAAATGTATGTGTACATGTGAGGGAGCAAGAAAGTATGGACTCATCCATCTATTCCTGGTCTATATCTATAATAAGACTGGAACGCACAACTTAATAACACCCTGAAAGTATGCATTGGAGCTTCGAGGAAATGTCTTTGGATAGCCAAACTTTCAAATCTCAGACTTTCTGTTCATGACCCTCCCAGTCCAGCTCACTACCAAGTATTGTCTTGCCTTATTATTATAATTATATTTACTTATACCCTGCACACAATTTAAAATATACAAATGTTTATTATCTGTTTATATGGATGTTAGAAATATTAAATATTAGGATTAGGGAAGACAGCTGTATTAAAGGGGTGAAAATAAAAGGGCAAGCATTCAAAGTCAAAGCATATGCTGATGATATGATATGCATGATAGAAGATCCAATAAAAAGCATCCAAAGCCAGAATGGAAACTACCAATAAGTATGAGAATGTGGCTGGATTTAAAATAAATAAAGAGAAATCCATGTTCTTAACCAAAAATTTGTCAAAAAGTTGTTGTTCATTCGTTCAGTCGTCTCCGACTCTTTGTGACCTCATGGACCAGCCCACGCCAGAGCTCCCTGTCGGCCGTCACCACCCCCAGCTCCTTCAAGGTCAGTCCAGTCACTTCAAGGATGCCATCCATCCATCTTGCCCTTGTCAAAAAGTAATATCGACAAAATGAAGAATTTAGCAGCTTGTAAGGTAACTTCGAAAGTAAAATATCTAGGATTATGGTTAACCAATAAAAATGACAACTTATATCTAAATAATTATGAGAAGATTTGGAAGGAGATTTAAGAAGATTTTGAAAGATGGCAAAGAATTCAACTAACTTGGATGGGGAGGATAGGTAACAGTAAAGGTTTCCACTTGACATTAAGTCTAGTTGTGTCCGACTCGGGTTGGTGCTCATCTCCATTTCTAAGCTAAAGAGCCGGCGTTGTCCATAGACACCTCCTAGATCATGTGGCCGGCATGACTGCCTGGAGCGCCATTACCTTCCTGCAGAAGCACTACCTATTGATCTACTCACATTTGCACAGGTTGGTAGGAGTTGGGCCTAACAGCGGGAGCTCTCCCTACTCTCTAGATTTGAACCGCCAACCTTTCGGTCTGCAAGTTCAGCTCAGCGGTTTAACCCACTGCACCACTGGGAGGCCCTATGGGGAGGATAGATGTGATAAAAGAATGGTCTTACCTAAAAGCCTGTTTTTATTACAAAATGTACTGATAATTAAAGGAGTTAATGGGTTGTTGTAGGTTTTTTCTGAGGATGCTTGCCATAGATGCAGGCGAAACGTCAGGAGAGAATGCCTCTAGATCATGGCCATATAGCCCGAAAAAACTTACAACAACCTAGTTATTCCGGCCATGAAAGCCTTCGACAATACAAAGGAGTTAATATTTTCCAACAATGGAGGAAAGATTTGATGGAATGGAGTCTTTGAAGTTCTCCTTTACTCTGACACATCAGCGCTTTGATATTGTAAAAGAACAGTGTTCCTTCTCAAGCAACTAACTCCTTGGCTCTTGTGCTAAAGTTTCAGTATTTCTAAAGCTGACTCCTCTTCTCCTTTTTTGAAATCCCCTGTAGGAAATAAGAAAGGCGAGCTCGATCATGCCGTCTTGGCTGTGGGTTATGGGGTCCTCCAAGGAGAACTTTACTGGCTTGTCAAGAATTCCTGGTCCACTTACTGGGGGAACGACGGCTACATCCTCATGTCCATGAAAGACAACAATTGCGGCGTTGCTACGGATGCCACATACCCACTTATGGCATGATTTTCCTTTCACCGATTCAGAATCCCTCACATTTTTGACCTCCTAATATACTCACTCACGATTGGAATCATATCCTATAAGACTGAAACAGACTCAGGGAATTTTTAAAAAATTGAATGATTTTTGTGTTTTGTGCTAATCTCGTTATATTCTTAAATAGGCGTAAATGAAATCACAAAGCCCATCTTTCTCAGTGGTAATGTCAGCAATTTCTTCTAATTAATCATTTCCATTATGCTATTTTATTTATTTCATATCAAAAGCATTGCATAAATTAGTATAAGACCGATAAAAATAGAAGGAATGCAGGTGGCTAAATATCTTTTGACCAAAAACGGGCAACAGCAATGGCATTGTCTGTAGCCTCCAACAATTCTTCCTCTGTATATGAGGCAGGGCATACAAGCATACAGATGCGAAGTTGTCTGTTCTGCTCCACAGTCACATAAGGTGTGGGGTTCTTTTTTTCCATCCTGCTTTCTTTAGGCAACACATTGCTCAATTTCTTCTCTTCCTGTCCCCTTCATTTCTTTAAACTGATCACTTAATACTCTTTGCAAAACATTGTTGGAAATGGCAGAGCAGATTCCAGAATTTTGGAGTGGATTCCCTTGAAGCAGAGCTGGGGAAACCTTTGGCAATGTAGATGTTAATTATATACTTTTCCTCGTCATAGTTGGACAAGCTATCTATGCCTAATGGCAATGACAATTCAATATTATCTGGAGGACTACAGATTTCTCAGCCCTACCTTTAAGCATATATATTTCAAGGGATTCACATTGAACCTCATCACACTAGAGCATCTATCTATTTTAAATCCAGTTGCTTTGTCCTACAAAATTCTAAGATTTGTAGTTTAGGTAGGTAGAAGACCTCTGAGTAGTTTAAACGCCCCTCCCTAAACTACAACCCCCAAATTCTGCAGGACACAACAACTAGATTTAAAGTGGATCGATGCTGTAGTGTGATGAAATCGTATGTTTACATACATACATACTAGGGCTGGGCGGTTTCGTTTCGTAATTTCGTAACTCGTTAAAAATTCGTTTTTTTTATAACGAAGCGATATTGAACCATTCAGGAGCAACTAAAAAACGAAACGAATTTTTCCAATTCATTTCGTAATTGTTTCGTAATTGATTCGTTACTGATTCGTTATTGATTCGTTATTGATTCGTTACTGATTCGTTATTGATTCGTTATTATTTCCGCATGTCTGGTGCAAGTTTTAGGGTTGCTGTTTGTTTTCTCAGTGAAAAAAAATATAATTATCACACCCACAGTCAACAACAGAGGGAGAGGGAAGCTTCAGAAGTTTTTTTAGCGGCTGCCATTAACGAATCGATTCGTAATCGATTTGTAATTGTTTCGTAATTGGGTTTTTGATTTCCGAAATTTCATAAATATCGAACTTTTTTTAAGGAAAATTTCGGAATTCTTTTAAATAATGAAACGCAAAAAAACCCTAAAAACGAATCGAGTTTAGAAACAAATTTTTCCGTGTTTGGACAGCCCTACACACACACACACACACACACACATATATATATATATATATAAATGCTCTGTGCATAATGAGTACCTTAAAAACAAAAAAACCAATGAACGAAATCACACCAAATTTGGCAACAAAATGTCTCACACCACAAGGAGTAACTACCACTCAAAAAATTATGATTTTGTCATTTGGGTGTTGTAGTTGCTGGGATTTATAGTTCACCTACAATCAAATCTGAACTCCACCAATGATGGAATTGAACCAAACTTGGCACACAGAACTCCCTTGACCAACAGAAAACACTAGAAGGGTTTGGTGGGCATTGACCTTGAGTTTGGGAGTTGTAGTTCACCTACCTCCAGAGAGCACTGTGGACTCAAAAAATGATGGATCTGGACCAAACTTGGCAGAAGCACTCAATACGCCCAAATATGAACACAGATGGAGTTTGTGGGAAATAGACCTTGACATTTGGGAGTTGTAGTTAGCTGGGATGTATAGTTCACCTACAATCAAAGAGAATTCTGAACCTCACCAATGACAGAATAGCAAACTTCCCACACAGAACCCCCATGACCAACAAAAAATACTTAAGGCCATCCAGTCCAACTCCCTTCATCAGGGCAAGAAAACCTAATCAAAGTCCTCCTGATAGCCCATGAGGTCTCTTCAGAGGCGGCCCTAGGTAATTTTCAATGGTAAGCAAACAGTATTTTGCCCCCCCCCCCAAAACAATCATTGATATATATTTTCTGTTCGTCGTGGGAGTTCTGTGTGCCATATTTGGTTCAATTCCATCATTGGTGGAGTTCAGAATGCTCTTTGATTGTAGGTGAACTATACATCCCAGTAACTACACTTGCCACTTGCTCCCTTGCCTGGCCCGCTTTGGGTCCGGAGGCATGCCTGAAGACCCCGGCGTGTGCACCAAAAGTCACCTCTTCTCCTGACTTTCTCCTCAGCCATTGGGACCAAGAGAGAGAGAGAGAGAGAGAGAGGTGGAGATGCCCACCTTTCCTGAAGGTAGGCGCAAAAACAAAGGAGGGAGCGGAGGTGGGAGATACCTCCAGCCGGAGGGGCTCGCTCTCTCTCTCTCTCTCTCTCTCTCTCTGTCCCAATGGCTGAAGAGAAAGTCAGGAGAAGAGGCAACTTTTGGTGCACACGCTGGGGTCTTCAGACACGCCTCCGGACCCGAAGCGGGCCAGGCGCGGCGGCTCTGCCCCTTGGCCCACCCGCGGATTGGGGAGAGGAGAGGAGGCGGGTGCCGGGGGATCGGGAAAGGGAGCCGGTCATGGGGAAGGGATCAAACGTGGAGAACGATTGAGCACCGGCTCTGCTCGCACACCCGGTGTCCAGGTGGAGCAGGAATGAGAGGGGCTAGGTGAGGCTCAAGGGCCCGGCGCCTTTGGGAAGAGGATCGCCCGGCAGAGGCAAGAAAGCCGAGGCTCCCCCCGGACTGCTAGGGCTGTTGTGAGCTGAGGGGGCACTCCTCAAGTGGCGGTCGAGGGGCATTTACAGAGGCGCCTCTGCGCCCCTGGCAAAAAAAGTGTTCTGCGACCGACCACTTACTTCGCGTAATGGGCAAGCCGCCCCTGGGTCTCTTCCAACTCTATGATTCTATTCTATGATTCTAAGAATGTAGCTGTGGTACAGTACTAGATTTTGCTCTTGCACAGCCAGTTGTGAGCTGGACGGTACAGCCATGTGACAACTTGTGTGAAATAGTCACACCAGCCCTTTACCCATTGCTAAATACTCCATTGCATTAGTTTCTACAACCTCTGAGAAAGTCCAACCATTTACATAACAGCAGCTAAACCAGCATGAAGCCACAACAGGCTTCTAACCCATGTCTCCAAATTTCAACCATTTGCTCAATATTGGTTTTGCTATTAGGTTGCATTTTTCTTTGCCCAAGCTAATGCAATTTGACAAAAAAAATATTCCTGTAGAAGTAAAGTACTTTAGTTGATGGTAGTTTGGCTTTTGGGGGGGAGAGGTAGGGCTTGATTTTTTCCTTTAGTCTAGGAAATGGAAAAAGTTTTTTTAAAAAGCCTAGTTTTGCTGCAAACCTTTAATTCATTAGAGATGCCCTTGGAGTGAGAAGCCCATTGGAAGCATTCAGTGAATGTTTTGAACCTGGTGCTGTGACCAGGAGGTGGGTTAAGGAAAAAAAGAAATGCACAACGTCTGTACAAGGATGGATGATGAACTCAGGACTTGAGCCAATGGGCATGCTCAGTTCTGTCACTTCTGCAGTTTTTTTCCCCATTTGAGCCAATTAAAGTCTATGTATGTGTTTACTGTGTGTTCTGACTGTGCTTACTAATACTGTTATTGCCTATATTTGTCCGGTTGTGACTCCTTTTACTCAACAGTGGGCTTTATGCTTATCCCCATCCTCCACTAACCCCAGAGCAAAGGACCAAGGGTCTGGAGAACAAGCCCTATGAGCTGGATATGATTAGCCTGCAGAAGAGAAGGCTGAGAGGAGACATGATAGCCATGTATAAATATGTGAGAGGAAGTCATAGGGAGGAGGGAGCGAACTTGTTTTCTGCTGCCCTGGAGACTAGGATGCGGAGCAACGGCTTCAAACTACAAGAAAGGAGATTCCATCTGAACATTATGAAGAACTTTCTGACTGTGAGAGCCGTTCAGCAGTGGAACTCTCTGCCCCGGAGTGTGGTAGAGGCTCCTTCTTTGGAAGCTTTTAAACAGAGGTTGGATGGCCATCTGTCGGGGGTGCTTTGAATGCAATTTTCGTGCTTCTTGGCAGGGGGTTGGACTGGATGGCCCATGAGGTCTCTTCCAACTCTATGATTCAATGATTCTATTACATGTAATATTACTAATAATATTACAATATAATGGTGTAGTACAATCTATCTATACATATAATAAAAGTCAAAGTTTGTATGCGGCGGACGTGTGGCGGTGTGGAGGAGTATGTGCCAGCATTCTGATTCGCCAGCCTAAAAGTTCCAAGATTCTGATTGGCTGCCGCTGTGGTGCTATTTGCATATGGTCTCGGATTGGCCAGCTTTACAGGAGCCCCTGGTGGAGAAAAGGGTTCATGACAGAAACGGAGACATGACAGAAGGAAATTTGCATATGGTCTCTGATTGGCCAGCCTCAATTCCAAGATTCCGAGATGACAAAGAGAGGAAAGGAAAAGGCCAAGAGCTGCATCAGAAAATTACCAATACAGACCAAACTTGGCACACAGAACACACAAGACCCACTCAACATCCTACTGCAGTTTGGAGGAGGATGAACCATGGATGTTGGGACTTGCAGTACCATCACTCACATTCTGAGACCGCTGTTAACCTCATCCACTCCCTTCCCAAGATTACTGCAACCCTCATCTAATGACCAATCAAGACCAAATTTGACACACAGAGCCCCCATGACCCACTCTACATCCTGCTGCAGCTTGGAGGATGGTTGACCATGGATGATGGGACTTGCAGTACCTTCACTCATTTACTGAAACCACTGCGACCCTCATCAATGACCAATCAAGACCAAATTGGCACACAGAGCCCCCATGACCCACTCTACATCCTGCTGCAGTTTGGAGGAGGATGGACTTTGGATGATGGGACTTGCA